TTGTGCATCGTTTCCACCACATCCTCCACTTTTCAAAACTTCTATTCTTATAGTTTTTTACAATGTTGTTTAGCTATACGCGTGATGTTACGATGCAAGTATGAAACACAAATCTGCTCACAGTAGCTAGTTTTTTCACCATGCCAAATTTTATTACATTATGGAAACGTTAAATTGGTTTTTCATCGGTGAATTTCAAATGTAGGAGAAATAGAAGAGAAATTTAACTAGAATATTCGTAAATACGTTCTGGTTGAGCTTTTCAGAGGCTTAAGGCATTTAACCTATTGCAAAGGAGCGGATATTCATTACTGGTTACTAAAATCACATATGCTTAACTGTTCTCTAAAGGGGGAATTCGTAACTAGGTAATTTAGGGGGATGGGTATTAAAGAGATCCGTTTTCCAAAATAAATACTAAAAGAACAAAACTAAGGAAAAGGTTGTATTTCAAATAGGAAATCAATTATCCAAATGGCGAATTACAATGACTGGCAACTCCAAATCGGTTACCAAGAAAGCCAGAACATACTCATTCCCCAAAGGAAAAAAGAAAGATAATTTTTGGCAAACAACTTGGAGAGTTGAGCAAAACATCAAAACTTGTAAACCTTATGAAGCCATACAAGAGATTTGAGAATTTTTCGCTACCAAAACATAAGAAAATGCAGCTGATTAGCTAAAAAAACAGGCAAGGAAAAGCATTGGTTTTTCATCAGGAAATGGGTACTTTTGCAACTGAAGGCCTATAACTTCTGGTCCGGTAAAAAAATATAAGGAGATGCCGGAAATCGAAGCCTTCATTATGTATTAAACTTATGATTTATTTGCAATAAGCGGTAAACGTTTTCTTTCCGCTAGTTAGGGCAGTGCGTCTTAGGTCGAAAAACCAAAGATTTGTACTGAAAATATTTTTACAACTTTGTGCAAAAACTCTGACAAAAATCTTACCAAAACACCCTGATGCTAGAATCGATCGCCGTAACAGACTGCGAACTTGAGATATGACAGCTCACAAATTTTTTAAAATTAGTATCTACACACTGGGGATCATAGCTCCTCTACTCAATGTACAATTCGAAAATTTTTCAAGAAGACTATCAAGACGAAATCAGAAAAAAATGCAATAAAAATTTAAGGGCTAGGAGTTTTACCTGTTCGCAAAGGTGTAGCTGCCTTCGAAAGCTTCGAGGTGAAATCGAAAGTCCAATTGTTTCTTGTTACCCAGTGATCGGAAATTTTTTTAGATTATATCCTGACTTTGTGGCATGTGTTTGACCGACTACTGAATTTGAGGACCACCAAAACATGTGAATGCTGGAACCAAGTTTTGAACGTTTCAAAGGGGACAAAAATCCTGTTTTGCGAACTGTTTTTTAAAAAAATGAGAGAACAACAAAAAAATGAGAGAACAACAACCGAAAAAAGATGAAACTTGGGTAAATATGAAACAGGTATATCTCTGGTACAAAAAATGGGCTCAAACTTAGAAAGTTGGACGAGGGGAAAGGAAAATCAATTCTTGTATGCATTCATTATTTTACCGTTTCAAATGGACTCTTTTTACCGTTTCAAATGCACATTTTTTCTAGTAAATTTCGGCAAATTTTTTGTTCGTCCTTGAACTTCTCGATGACTTTTGGAAATGAAGAGTGCTTGCAGGTGACTAGTTTCACAAAATTGCTGTTTTACCCTTCTAAAGCATTGTTGGTGCGGGTAAGGTCATTTTTTACTCTTTGATGGCAACTCCATTGCTCTATGTCAAATTCGTAATTTTTGTTAGTAAGAATAGTTTTTGTTAGTAAGAATAATTTCGATTGATAGTAACAGAATAATGTTCGATTGAAGTGTGCCAATTGTTTGCAAATAAAACAATTTGAGTGAGCAACGTCTGTTTTTGACCGGATTAAGATTAATTAAAGTCAATTTTAAAAATTTATTAACTTGTATATTTCGCGGATTACTAGTTTTAATGGTTGGACACTGATGTTATCTAGGTAGTTATATATTCTCTGCTAAGCTACCAATTATTATCGGGATTAATTGGAACCAAAAAATTTTCAATCCGTGGAAAATGTTCTCATCAGTTTCTGGAAAAGTTATCACTTCGATCAATGGAACTGTCTTTCGGACTGCATTTGAACTATTTTTGGGACTGTTTTGTATTTGACTCTTCTTTTCGACTTTGATATGAGTTTTCGGACTTTTTTAAACAGGATTGTTATGTATTGGACCGTTTTATACAGACATGCATTGCGCAAACAAGCAAAACTTAAAACTAGAAAGGTCTAATTAATCAAAAAACCTTTACAAACAAGGATAGCCGGTTGCTGGCAAGGAGCACAGAATCTTCCCACCAGATTCGTAAAAAAACTACAAAAAAAAGTTATCTTCACATTTGCGTCGTTTCTTCTGCGTTGTTTTTTTAGAATTACACAAACGCGTAAAAAGTTCGGTATTAAGGCATAAAAAACTAATTGTCTTCAAAAGATTAATAAACGAAAAATGACTCGCAGTAGCTTGACTCGCTCGAAATGGGACTAAAACTCAAAATTTTTAAATTGGTTTTTCTCAACACTAAAATTTTTAAAGAAATTTCTTTAATGTCGTTCGAATCACGGGCTTTTTCATGGTATATCAAGGGCTTTTATATGGTATAACACTCGACCCATACCGAGGATTATTTGTGGCACCTGATTTTGCGTGGACAAATCAGGTACCACCCAAATAGAATGTTACTCCACATTTTTCAAATGTTCGGAACAATAAGACAAGTTTGAAATGTTTCTTATCTATTAAAGCATAAATAAGACGAAATAACTTGCCTCATATGAAGTTGTAATGATTTAAAAACGGACAGATGGCTGAAAACAAAATAAAAAACCTTTATTAATATCCTTAACATAGATTTTAGCTTAGCTTTGGATTATTTACATACAAATTGATAAAACTCGGCAAAAAATGATCGTCAAAGTTGTGAATAGCCGCAGAAAAAAAAAGCATAACACAATCGTTTATTTGTACAAAAACCAAAATTTGATTTCAACTTAAGTTTCCAACTCTTACTTTCAAACTACTCAGATAGATTGTGCAGTCAAGAACTGAATTTTGACGCAGACGGAGCGGAATTTTTAAAAAATTGAGCTGGAAAAAGATGTACACGGCAAATTATCAGCAATACAAAATAACTGACATGCTAGTTAAAGTAGCTCAAAACAAAGGCGATTGCATAATTAGTCGAAAAACGTTTTTCTCAAAATATTGCAAACAAGTAAAATTACATTTTCAGATAGTATCAAACAGGACGAAACTCATCGCTTTCTTTTGACTAAGATTAAACTGAGAAAAAAAATCGCAAAAAAGTCTCCAATTTACCCGCACAAATAAAATTGAGCCAAATTTCTTGCATTTTCTTGAACGGCACGGCGCAGTATTACAGAAATAAATCAACTTTTTTTAATTTAAAGTGACAATTCCTTAGATCAGTGAGCAACGTGCTGCGGAAATTGGGCGACGAAAAAAGCAGACAAAAGATAGCCCGACAAACCGAAACAAATGATAGATTTTTCAAGTTACAAAAAAATCACTTTACAGCTCTTTCAATTTCAAGAGTCTTTCATGATTGTCAATTTCTCTATAAAACTCAGCCAATTAGAGAAAAGTGGATGAAAAGCTAAACTTTCTATTCCGCTTGAAATCTGAAAAATAAAATCCACTTTCTAAACTGGAGTCATTCACGTTTTCCGCGCCATCTGGACTTTTTTTGATTGGAGAGCGTAATTCGCCTTGTTTTTATATTCTATTTAATCTGAATTTCAAAAAACCAAAATTCAAAAAAACTTGAGCGTTCTCAAACTTTAATTTTTCTTGAAAAAACCACATGACCTAACTAAGTGTCTTCACCTGGCTCCTTGACAATTAAGAAAACAAAGAAAAACAGAGGCTTTTCGGCATAGTGTTTAATGCGCCTGTCTTTTAAACAGGATAGCGACAGTTGAAACCCTCGAAGCCTATTAAACCGCAATTAGATGCATGGCTCAAAAGTTACATATCGAGAGAACTCTTGCATTTTCTTGAACGGCACGGCGCAGTATTACAGAAATAAATCAACTTTTTTTAATTTAAAGTGACAATTCCTTAGATCAGTGAGCAACGTGCTGCGGAAATTGGCCGACGAAAAAAGCAGACAAAAGATAGCCCGACAAACCGAAACAAATGATAGATTTTTCAAGTTACAAAAAAAATCACTTTACAGCTCTTTCAATTTCAAGTCTTTCATGATTGTCAATTTCTCCATAAAACTCAGCCAACTAGAGAACAGTGGATGAAACGCTAAACTTTATATTCCGCTTGAAATCTGAAAAGTAAAATCCACTTTCTAAACTGGAGTCATTCACGTTTTCCGCGCCATCTGGACTTTTCTGATTGGAGAGCGTAATTCGCCTTGTTTTTATATTCTATTTGATCTGAATTTCAAAAAACCAAAATTCAAAAAAACTTTAGCGTTCTCAAACTTTAATTTTTCCTGAAAAACCCACATGGCCTAACTAAGTGTCTTCACCTGGCTCCTTGACAATTAAGAAAACAAAGAAAAACAGAGGCTTTTCGGCATAGTGTTTAATGCGCCTGTCTTTTAAACAGGATAGCGACAGTTGAAACCCTCGAAGCCTATTAAACCGCAATTAGATGCATGGCTCAAAAGTTACATATAGAGAAAACTCAGCGGAATAATTTTAAAATAATTAAACTCAGCGGAATAATTCATCAAAAAACAGACTTATTTGTAGATGCAAGAATTGCACTAGCGGAATATATATAATATTCGCCTTAATTTGCGACAGGAAACATTATTGTTGTTTTGAATTTGAAGAAAACCAATAATCAAGCCGCGAAAATAAGTTCGAAGGTGAACGAATTATTGAATTTTTTTTCGAAAAAAGGCACGTGATCTTAATAAGTGAAAACACTTTTCGTTTATTAGCATTGAAAAATTGATAGCATTCAAAATTTTAATTCAAAGGAATAGAAATGTAATATCTAAAAGGTAACAAGCAAACGCGTACTCTAATTCAAAACTCAATCTGGAACATATATAAAAATATTTATTTACATGAACTGTTTTTCTTACTAAAGTTGGAACATTCTTCAAACATCTAAAGCTCTCTCGCGTCAAAAACCTATTAATTTAAGCATGATTCAGTTGACACTTACAGTTATGGCTAAAAACTATGCTTGAATCATTGCTATTTTTCGGTATTTAGTAGCCATGTCACGCAGTATTAAAATCAGATCACGTAAATATAAGATATCCGTGCAAAGCTGCTTCAAACACGCCAAAGAGATGGCATGGGTTGGGTGGTAAAGCTGAAAATATCAATACAAAATAACAAAAAAGATGTTACGCGTAAGTACAATTGCTCTTCGTTCCTGTTGACAACACTCTTTTCCCAGCCAAAAAGTCTTTTACATTCTTCACTTTATCCTTCGTTCCGAGCAAATTCTGGTTCATGTAGCTCTGGAAGTAAGCTGTTTGACCTCTGGATATATTAAAGATCTGATTCTGAATGAATGACACACCCCAGATACAGGATATGATATTGGGTGGGAGACACATGACAATTAAGTAGTTATTTAGCAGAATGGCCACTAAGTCTACCGGCTCTCCAATTTGAAGCGCAGGGACGATCAGGTCATGGAAAGTTTGAAGAGCGAAGATAACGAAGGAAATCTGAACAAAATAAGGGTTGCAATCTCAAAACTGAGCTTTTCCACAGAACTTTTCGCCTCTTTGAAGTTGAAGCTTTTCAGCGCTTTTTTAAGCAAAATTGTAATTTTAGTTGAAAAAAAAATCGAATTTTTTTGGCGCGCAAGCCCTCTAAAATATAATCAGCAAACCGCAACAAAAGCGAACATTCGAAAAAATGAGAAACCAGTTGTGCTTAGTTTTCTTGTCAAGTGTTGCGTATTTTTTTCATCTATGTTGTATGTGCTTTATCTGATTGTTCATATTTTCAGACAGATCGATCATTTATTTCACAGCTGAAAGTATTTTTACGAATGGTTAAGAAAAATATGCAGCAATCAGAATTGAGAGATAGCGTGGCCCTTTATAAGCTTACCCCTTACTTCCAGAAACAAGTCAGTGTGCAGGATTATTAAACTTAGAGTAACGTGGACCATAGACGGTAGAGTTGAATGATAAGTTGCATTAACCTGCGAGAGGACAGTGACGATGAGGAATAGGATGAAGAGTCTGTGGTTGTGCCTGCCCACACATGTGAGCATGTAGAGACAGTGGTGGTCCATGTCACTCACACAGGACTCACACAGCCGACAGTGCTTAGTGTGTCTAGACTCACCCACTGTGTAACACAGCAGACACAGACTCGTCTGTTTGGGCTTGTCGTAGGCTGGAAAACAAAACTTACTCTTTCTGAAGCTTACCACAGCTAATTTCAAAGAAGAACCCGCCAAAGAAGGTCATCATATACTTCATCGTCAATAAATCGGAGTTTGGAACTACATATAATTTTCAGACATGTCAAATTTCGTACAACGTTAGCTTATCATGGTAAAAAATGAGAAGTGGTGGATAAATTTTAAGAAACTTTTAGTTCACTCTATTGTTCAAGCACTTGGCAATAGAATGCGACTAATCTATCAATATATTTGTAACTAATAAGAAAATATTTACATATAGACTTACCAATATCCCAAATTTTCCCAGTGTAAAGTTCCCCACAATTAGCGCCCTTCACTCCTCTCAACATTAGTTTGAAATACATCCACCACATAACTACCATCATCACCAACACATAACACACGAAACTCCATGAGGTTCCATTTGACGCCATCGCAGTTGCTATATCCATGCCATCTTCAGACCCAAAAACTAACCGCGTGAACGAAAAGCCAGTCAAATTCAGAGAAGCAATAGAGGTAAAGAAAAGTCCGGCTAGAAAGGCTCCCGCCAAGAACGGACTCGGAGTCCGATCGAATCTCAGCCTGTGTGAAGATTGATATGTTTTGTAGCAGTCAATAACTACTACAGCCATACCGAAAAAGGCACCCTTGTAGCCGAATGCGTATTTTAGCAGAAAACTGAGAAAAATAGAAAAGAAATTTCGGAAGGCCAGGAGGTAATAAGTTGATTTGAGTTTCCATTGTGGCTTCTGCGCATGCTGGACTACTTTGACGGCTGTTTGCACTCTAGCTTTTGACTTGAAGGATTCTAGTGAGTTGATGTCAGGGAGGGGCTTGATGGTCTTTATAAGGCTGGGAACATACTCCAACATCAATGCACACTGGTTGGCCTCACCAATTCTAAACAGAATCACTATTACGATCATTGAACATGGCTGCGCTATTTTAAGATTTTGAAATTCGTTTAAGTATAAGGTATCTTTTATAGCGGGTGGATCCTGTTTTTCTGAAATATCGGTTTTTTGACCCCTTACAATTAAAGCCTGGCGTACCGAATAGCGTGATCGAGCATATTGTCTTCGTTGTTATCCTTGACTGTCGGGTCGATTCTGCGATGCTTCAGCACAAAGTGCAGACACGAATTCATTCCATATGTGACCATCGTGTGACCAACACTCATTCCCGATGCATTTCTTGCATTCAGATCCAGGCCTGAAATAATATGAACAACCTCGATTTAAATGAAAGATCGGAGCTGTCGCAAGCAAACTCCAATAAGCTAACCAGAGATGACTAATTGTAACTTTGTTCCACAATGAGCCAGCTAACAGCAAAACTAGCACATGAAAAATCATAGACGTTGTTTCTTTTAGCTAAAAAACCTCTACCTCTCTCATATAGAAGTTCAATGACCAGTGTTGATCCAGACTGGGCTGAAAAATGAGCACATGAGTTTCCTTCATTGTCCACCGCGTGTAAATCAGCACCATGCTCTATCAGGTACCTCACTGTGGCCAGAATGCCCCTTCTGCATGCTAGGTGCAGTGGGGTCTCGTTCTTGTTGTTGCGGATGTCCAAAATGGCTCCTCGACTAACCAGGGTGTCCAGGAGTTCCTTCACGCCTCTCACTGCACACAGGTGCAGCAAACTGGTAGTGTTCACGAAGTCCTATCAAAATAAAAATTTTGAAGTTATTAGTCCTGTGACGATAACGTTCATTTCACTCTTCTTACTCTAAAACATGTCGACCAATTATTGAAAACACTATTTTACTTTAAGTAAAAACTAAGATAGACGGAGAGCGATTGAAAACTGTCTTAGAAACATACTTTTTAGAGAAAAAATTGAAATCATTGGCGTGTAATATCCCTTGCAAATAAAAAGATTAATGGACTTTAAGTTGTGACTTTAAATTCAGGCTGAGAATGCGTAATTTATCTTGAAGCTTGTTCATTTCGTACTTACTTTTTTGAAGCAAAAAAAGAGCAACGAACAGCTTACCGACGAGTAAAGCGTGTTGACAATACTGGGATTCTGGTCGAGCAACCGTACCAGAGCCTTCTCGTCTATTGACTGGACAATATTACTCAGCACGAAGTACAACTGTGTATTATCAATTACTCCTGTGTCTTTCTGGACGTAAACTCCATTCTTGTTATCATACAATACATCCGCGCTCATTTTCGCTTTGATTTTCTCGTAACCTGGTTGCACTGGATATGGCTTACGATACGTTGAATTTCCTGTATCTGCACATTTAATCATAACATCTCCATTGCCAAACTGTTCCCACTCGTATTTTCCTGCAGTTGTTGTGCTTATTGAATGCGGTCTCACAACATCACAATCGTAATTACTAGTATTACCACTTGGTGCAAAATTATCGAAGGTAGTCACGCTTTCCTTGCTAATTTGTTGGTTTTGGCAACTTTGATCACGGCAACTAGCATCCCTGCAGCCGTTATTTTGATTAAAACTAACAGTTTTCAGTCCGTTCATGGCTGATGGAACTGTTCTACGCTACCTCAATTATTAATACTATCTGTTTATGCGGTTTCATTAGAGCAACAAAACTCCCAATTAAAACATTTTTCTTCGTTTTCCCATTCGTTTGTCTTTCTCAGTAATTTATTTTTCACGTTGAAAGTATAGCAGGTATAATTGAATGCCGCCTGCAACGGAAGTCAGACCTAATAAAGCTTATCATATAACATAATTATTGCCAATATTTTCACCGTTCGCTAAAGTGACGTGGCAGAAAAATTCGCTCAAGCATACTCTGAAAAAAACAAACACGAATAAGACAAACAGCATGACAAATTTAAACGGAAAACTCAATTTATTTACAATCAAGTCTTCGTTCATGGTGACTTAAACCACTGATAGGCGCAAAGGCGAATCTTTCGATACACGAAAAACATAGCGTAGTAATCCAGCCAACAGAAAAAAATGTGGCAAAAACACTTACACGAGAGGAACTAACTGGACAAAATCGTCCGCAAAAAGTTATTAAAATCTGGGTCTACCAAAATTTTCATTCCTTTATTTCGAAAGAAGCTCTATTTGAGGTAATACAAAAGACAATTGCCAACAGAAGGTTAGTTTGAAACAAAACTTATGAATTGGTAAATAAGCCAACAAAAGCGGGTACACACTCGTTGAGCCAAAGATAACCTCATCATGATAAGCTTTCAGAAAAAAATTTCGAAACTCGTTTTTAAGTTTGGCAAACCCTCAGCTAACACACGGATGAATGCAAGGAAACAGAAACAAATGCCTTAATTCGAATTCCAAACAAAACATAGATGACCTTAACGCTCTTTCATTTTCAAAAGCAATTTATGATTGGCACTTTTTCATAAAACTTAACCAATTTTGAGAAAACTAGATGATTTTGAAAAGTTTTTATTCCGCTTGGAAATCTAAAATTTAAATTCCACTTCCGAAAATAGAAAGTACCATTTCAGCTTTCATGATTGAAAAGGACATTTTGCCTACCTTCTAGCAAATGAATTTGAAATGAAAAAGTGAATACATACATAAGGGCATTTATGTGCATTTATAAATCAGAATGCACTTCTTTTGTTATTAGTGCATTTCAAGACTTTTCCTCGAAAAAAAACGAAAATCATGTCGAACTATACGTTCAATGACTCTAAAAATTTTCATCGTCCATCAAACGACGCATAATAAAACAGAAAAGCCAAAAAAAATGTTTCTTTGAGCCAAATAAAAAAAAAACTTTGAGCCAAATAATTATTTTAAGCAAAAAAATTAAACTATTTGAAATTTCGAAATTCAGTATATCTAATATTCACGTTGAAGTTCATCACATTAAAAATCTTTGAACTTCAAAAATCTTTTATGATCAGCTCCTTTTGACTAACCCAATGAGAGAAAAATTGGTCAATGGGTAACATTTTTAATTAGTTGAAAAATATAAAAATCCAATTCTTATTTTGGAAACTAGAATTCAGTCACTTTTTCCAAATAAAGAGCATAAATTTGAAAATAATTTTGAATTGAACTTCAAAAGAAACCAAAAATCAAACCGCAATAAATCAAACTCCTGAAAAACAAACAAAAAACAACTACACAGCCTAAAAAGACGTCTTAACTTCAATCATGGCAGATACGTAATAAAAAAAGGTAATTCATTTGAGTTCCGAGTCGGTTACCAACCAAAAAACCCTAACTTCAAAAATAACGGTAAATCAAAATACGGTTTCTGTCGACCAAATATGCCTATTGGCACAAAAAAATTTAGTGATTAAGTTAGACAAATTCTTCAGGTGGAAAAGAGTCTATGTTCCGATTTGATAATGCTTGCTTATCGCAAGCGTGAGATCAAAAAAGTTTTTTTTTCTTTCGCAGATCTTTCAATTCGTTTTAAAAGATCAAAAATGTATCAAATTGCAATTCTATCAGTTGTGATATTGACTGTTTCTAGCAAAATCCAAATGCATTGTCTCGGTCTCATGAAAAATTGGTCAAAAATTTTTTTTCAGACCAACTTTAGTTGATTTTAAGGCCGAGTTGAAAAAACGCTCTTCTAAATACCTTTTCAAGGTATTTAGAGGAGCAAAGAGACTTGAAAAAATGAAGAACCTCTTTATGTCAAACCTAGTTTACGAAGTCCGAAAGTCTTTTATCGCAATGATAACTGTGGTCGTATTTTCCTCTGCAAGATGCACAGCATTATTATTTTTAGTGATATACATTTATTATCATAAAAAATTTGTTGAGCTTCGTTCAAATAGCCTTAGCAACCGATAGCTTGACCATAATAACTTGAGGCAGTTACAGAGAAGGAAAGAGGTATAACCTAATCCGGAATGTTCTCCACTCAATTAAAGTTATACCAGGAGAAAATTTCCAAGGTGACCAAAATTGATTCAACTTTGAAGATACTTTCAATTGAAAACCGTTCCAGAAAAGTTATTCAAAAAATTATCAGTGGCTATACAATCTTCTAATCCTTTCTAGGGCGAATTTACTGAACTAATTGTTTTTTGTTAGTAGAGGGAGAGAGTTTGTTTGTGAGGTTTAACTTGTGAACTTAGAACAATAAATTTCAGCATTAAAATTTGAAAAATAAAATTAAAAAGATATTTTGCTTCATTTACTCAAATTTACTCAGCTATTATTTAGTTGTCAGGCGCCAACATTCAATTGCTGAAAGTCTGAAAATCAAATCTATTCGCATAACCTTTTTTCGGCACCGACAAATATTTCCGGAATTTTTAACACAGAGACAAAGCTGAGGTTCGCACCTATTGCGAAACAGAACAAGAAAAAAATGAATGACAAAAAAATAGATCTATCAAAATGAAAAGAGCTAGTTTTGGAACAAAAAACAAGCCAAAACAAAAAAATGTGAAGTTCTCATCGAACGAAAATTAAACGTACATAGACACACACAATTTTTAATCGCCCGTCAAATGATACAATACGAGGCCACTAAAGCGGAACCTATAAAGCCGGAAAAAAAGCCGCAAAATGTTAAGAACGTTTCGACTAATAAAAAAATTAAGTCCATCTCACCCTCAAAACGCACATAAACACACAAAACTTTGTCACTCCTCGAACGACGCAATATGACTAAGCCGATATAATATAGGCCGAAGCTCAATAGGCCGAAAAATAAACTTTTAAGTTATTAAATCCCCTCACTCTCAAAACACCCACAAACACATAAAAAAATTTGGTCGTGGAACGGCGCAATATGAGACCACTGAGCCAATACAATAAAAGCCGAAACTTACTAAGCCGAAAAAAAATCAAAAATTAACAAAAAAAATTCAAAAAAATTAAGAAAACTTAAAAGTAATTAGGTCCCATTCACCCTTGAAGCAATAAAAAAACCAGTTTCACTCATCGAACGACGCAATATGAGGCCACTAAGCCGATATAATATTGGCCGAAACCGATCAAACCAAAAAAAAGAAAAGAAACAAACGTGAAATTTTAACAAATTGAGTTCATTAAATTATAAACGACAAAAAATTCGAACAGGACAAATTATTCAAATCCCAACAAGCACAAAATATATCTGTAGCAATAAATTGGTTGCTTAAAGGCTCCAAGGAAATGAGTCGAGATGAAAAGGTGATGAGTGCTTCAAGGAAATGAGTCCCGTGTACAAAATTCTTTACGGAAAAAAGACTAGTGCCCGATTGCAAAACCCTTGCTTATCGCAAGGGTAAAAATCAATCGATTCAGGACAGAAATTTCTTTTTTTATATATAAAATATACATCATTTTCGGCCGATATTTATTTGTGTGTGATGCTTTTGGGTTTAAAACCACTTGAATCCTTAGTTCATGTATAGTTCATAGCAGGAACAAAAACATCTTCAAGTCCATCTTTAAGTAAGCTATCTTCAGCAACGCCAAGCTCTGAATGTAAAAATAACATAGAGATTAAGTTAAAGACAAAAGCAAAGTGGAGCTTCACGACATTTCCGATAAAAAAACGATTTTGAAAAACTAAGAAATCAATCAAAACTAGCAATTAACTCACCTTCGGTGCTTCGAAATTTTTCGACAACTCATGAAAAAAACCGCATATATTGCAAACAACATCTGCAAACTTTTAGTGTACTCTGACTGCACCCAATTACAGGGTTGGTAATTTCGAACTTTTAATTTTTTTTAAATTCCAATTTTAAAAGTGTCATCTCGAAAACTTAATGGGCCTCTGCAGAAATTTGGAAGCCAGATTTGCAACCACTGAGAGTCCCTGAGAGCACGCTACTATAGGGTTAGGAATCCAAAATTTTGTGATTTTTTTTAAACATAAGATTCCCGAAAAAAAATTGAAAAAAACGTCTTATCTCGGAAACTAAAAGGATTTGAGCATTCAAATTAAGAGGCAAGATTTGAGACGCCTGGGTGTACGCTGACAAAAAAGTTGTATCTTCATCAATTTAGAAGTTTCAAATTTTTTGAATTTCTTTGTAGATAAGTTCTTTGAAAATTTTGAAAAAATCGAAAAACGTCACATCTCGGAAACTAAAAGCATTTGAGCATTCGCGTTTAGCAGTCGCATATGGCAAGATATACAACTCTTTAGAGTACCCTGACAACAACGAACTATAGAGTTGAGAGTTTCAAATTTTGAAAAATAATTAATTTAAACTTTCTAAAAATTTTGAAAAAATCACAAAAAACGTCATATCTCGAAACTACAAAAAATTGAGCAGTGATATTTGGAGGCAAGATTCGCAATCCTTGAGAGTACTTTGAAGGGACCTAACTACACGGTTGGGAATTTCAGATTTTTAAAGAATAGAATTAATTCAAGTTTTCTGAAAAATTTTGAAAAAATCGCAAAAAATGTCATATCTCGAAAACTACAAAGAATTGAGCAGTGATATTTGGAGGCAAGATTCGCAATCCTTGAGAGTACTTTGAAAGGACCTGACTACACGGTTGGGAATTTCAGATTTTTAAAGAATAGAAATAATTCAAGTTTTCTGAAAAATTTTGAAAAAATCGCAAAAAACGTCATATCTCGAAAACTACAACGAATTGAGCAGTGATATTTGCAGGCAAGATTCGCAATCCTTGAGAGTACTTTGACAGAACCTGACTACAGGGTTGGGAATTTCAGATTTTTAAAGAATAGAAATAATTCAAGTTTTCAGAAAAATTTTGAAAAAATCGCAAAAAACGTCATATCTCGAAAACTACAAAAAATTGAGCGGTCATACTTGGAGGCAAGATTCGCAATTTTTGAGAGTACTCCGACAGGACCTAACTACAGGGTTCGG